TGTCATCTAATTTATTTGCATGTTCTTCAAGACATCCCTTTTGGACAAAGGTGGAAATATATAAGGCCCAGGCATGCCCAACAGTCTGACATCATGACAAAGTATTGGTATCGTCAAAGTTCATGCTCAAGGACTGCACAACTGAGTCATGAGGAGAAAAAAAACTCTCATGATGATTTAAGTATGTTTCCAATGCAGTGTCGGTAAGCAGTCATAGCTCTCCTGTGTCCCAGGCACACTGTGGACCACAGGAAGGACACCTGAGAGCCCTCATAGACAAACACACAATTATGGTAGCTGTGCTCTGTGAACCAGCTTAAAGACCAAGGTGTCCTCCTGATCCCTTCCCCCAGGCCAAGGAGTTAAGGACAGAGGGGAAGGATGTGCCTTGAGATGCCAAATCTGCAAGTCTGGTTCATCGCCCATCGCAGGAATACCATAGTGGCTCACAAAACCCTCCAAATGAGGTCCTCTGCCCACCACCCCGGAGTTCACTCCCCACGCGAACTTCCTTTAAAGGGAAGCAACGGCATCATGCTCTCTCATCTTCTCTCTTGCCTATGGGGACCTGCTTTCCTCTCTGCCTCTTCCTCACCTCTGGATGTTCAGGTTCTTCCGACTTCTTCCTGTGTTAGCCGAGTCTTCTTACAGCGCGTGGGGACTCTCTGGCTTTATCTTGTTCTAGCTCCAGGAACCGGCCAGGTGTACTTTGGACTGTCAGAGTCCTGTGACATGGAAGGACCAAGACGAGCAGCTTTCTCCTTGTGGACCTGCCCTTCCTCTTTGCTGTGTCAGCATCCTCCCATTGGACAAATCTTTGTTCCTTCTTGATATCTTACCTTCACTTGACTCTCAGCTCTAGTTCATTGCCACATTCTGACTATTCTGGTAACAAAGTATCTCCAAACAGTGTCTTTCTGCCATCTCTCTCCTCTCTCTGCTGGTCCAAACCACTATCATCTCTTACAGGCAAGAAGGCACTGCACTCTCTCCTCTGGTCTGTGTTTTTTGGTTTGGTTTGGTTTGGTTTGGTTTGGTTTTTTGGTTTTTGCTTTTTTTTTTTCCTTTTTTGAGCCATTCCAAATCCTACTGCCATAAAGCTCAAACCCTGAGGGCTGTTTATCACAGCTTGCTGCACTTCCTGCCCGTGATTTCCCATTGCACCTAAGAGAGAGTGTCAATTTTCAGCCCACCCGCTCCATGAGGACCCATGTTCTCACTAGCTGGCTGGCCATTGCCCATGAACATCACCCGCAGGACACACAATTTCAGTTCCTTAAAAGACCTCTGTGTGTTATGCCCAAATCTGCGAAGTCCCCCAAAAGCCAATAAGGAGACTGAGTCCCATATGCAAAAGCAAAGAGCCTTTATTTTATGCGAATTTGCAAACTCGGTCTCTCTGCATGTTCAGTGTATTGGAATAAATAGAGAGCCCTGAGCTCAGTTAGAATTGGGTTTTATAGTAGTAAAGGTGGGGGTGAGGGGTTTTTGAGGTTCAGGACTCCTAATTGGCTGACATTTGTCTAGGGTGTCCTGGTGAGTGTGTGCTGGCAGGTGATCCTATCTGCAGCAGTTGGAATGTTAGGCATTTCCTTTGGATGGCCTGTTCTTGGGTGGTGTTCAGGTAATCTTGGTTTATGGTCCTTTCTGCAACCAGGTATTGCCTCAGGGTAAACTACTGAGACTCAGACCTCTATTAAATTTATTGATGGCTGAGTCCTACTCTGGCAGGTGATAATGGTTGGAAGTAAAGAACTTCCTTTGGGTGATCTGTTCATATTTAGCTTATCCTGGTTGGCTCCTACAATGTGAAGTCCTTTCCTGATAACAGCTCAGTTGTCTGTTTCTGGTGTTCATAGCGGGAGGGAGGTTATTTGTTTTGGTAGGAGAATGGTTGGATAAGGGGCCATTAAGAATTGTTGCTTTCTTGCCGTGGCATGAGTATTTGATAGATACAATGTTTCAGTTTTGTGCCTAAAAAGAGTTCTAGAGATGGATTAGGTGTGAGAAATAACGATCCTCGTTTGATAATAAGAGTACTGGAGTCCGGAAAACGTGGCAGTTTATTTTACAACTTTGCAAAGCTGGGCATCAGCTCAGAGAAAAGGCAAAAAAAGGGGGGGGGGTCTTAATGGATTTAGTGCAAAACAGTGGTTTTAAAAATCCTAATCACAGGGTTCGGTGGTGAAGAACACTGACTGTTCTTTCAACAAACCAAGGTTTGATCAGCACCCGCTGTAGCTCACAACCACCTGTAATTAGTTCCAAGGGATCTGATGCCCTCTTCTGACCTCCACCAGGCATCAGGCACACACATGGCAAACAGATATACATGCAGGCAAAACATTCATACACACACACACACACACACACACACACACACACACACATACACACAATTTCCCTACCTGCTGAATTCATTGGTTGAGTTCTTCAGGGAGGTGCAATCTTCACAGGGTCTAGCATTGTTTATCCCCGTAAGAGTCCCATCCTATTTTTTTTTATTTTATTTATTTATTTATTTTGAGACAGGGTTTCTCTGTGTAACAGTCCTAGTTGTCTTGGAACTAACTCTTGTAGACCAGGTTGGCCTCGAACTCACAGAGATTCAGCTGCCTCTACCTCTCCAGTACTGGGATTAAGTGTGTGTGTGCCACCACCGCCTGGCTTAAGAGTCCCAAACTGTTAGGTCAGGATGCAAAGCTTTATCTAACATATATCCTGGGGTTGAAAATTCCTGTCCAGATCCAAAGGAAGCTCCAGTTCCTTAAACTCTAAAAAGCAGTGCATGTGTCCAGAAATGACAGTCTTGACCCAGCTCAAGCTGGACTATAGAAGGATTGCTGGTGGTTAGATAAAAGCCAGCATTCCTCAGCTTGTGAAATGGGTTTCCTTCCTGTCTGTCAAAGGGAGTCATTTCCCTTGCCTCTAGCAGAAGGGATATGTAGCTCTCCATTGACTATATTTGTGGTTGCATATTAAAGCCCATGCTGGCCTCCAGACTCCTAAAGTCCCTATTCACAAGTGTCCATTATGTATTTCAAAGTCTATACCAGCATCCTGGTTGCACCAGCTCTGGGCTTTCCTCCTTCAGCTGCTCAATCTCCTTATAACCTGCTATTCTCTACCATTCCCCCACACCTTGCTTTCTGACCAGCTCCATTATTCTCCCTCATTATTCTCTGCTATCCCTGCTTCCCTAGTCCTGACCGTGTCCAGTCTGTGTCATTTTATCTCTGCTCTGGAGTCTTCCAGACGCCTCTGACTGCTCTCTCTCTCTCTCTCTCTCTCTCTCTCTCTCTCTCTCTCTCCTATAATAAAAAACTTTTCAACCCAATGGAGCGGCCATTTCGGTAGTTTCCTTACTGCACCCCTTGTGTACAGTTCTCTCCTTCTCTGGTATGTGAGCACAGTCGCGTGGCAGGTTGCCTGTAACTCTTCATGCCTAGGATAAGCCAAGAGTGCCTAGGTGAGCAGGTGCCAGCTGGAAGCCAGTGAAGAAAGGGCCTCCTGCTTATCCAGGCGTGATTCTCCAAGGAGCTCTAAACACAATTCATGTTGGCCCTATATTTTTAAATGCTTACAAATTGGATTGCATGAATTTTATTATTGGGGGGAAGGGGACTGTTTTAAGACAGGATTTGTCTATATAGTGCTGGCTTCCTAGAACTTGCTCTGTAGACCAAGTTAGTCTCGAACTCACAGAGATCCACCTGCCTTTGTCTCTGAGTGCTGGGATTAAAGACCTGTGCCAGCACTGCCTGGTTTATCATGTTATTTTCTATTAGGGAGAAAAGTTAGCATGATATAAATAACACTTGACTACAGAATCCTTGTAGAAAACTATTAGTAACTGTTGGGTTAGAGTGTGAAACATTCCTAGAGACTCTTGTCCTTGAACATTTGGTCGCCAGCTGATGGCATTGTTTTGGAAGGTTGTGGAGCCTTTAGGAGCTGGAGCCTCACAAGGGAGGTCACAGGATCCATGGAGGAGGGACTTGAGGTTTTATAGATCAGACCCACTTTGTGACATTCTCTGCCTGCTGACTGTCAGGCAATGTTATCAGCCACCTCATAATTCTGTATCCCTTTAGACTGTAAGCCAAGCAATCCCATAAGATGCTTTTTGTCAGGCATTTGCCACCATAACAAGAAAAGTAATGACTGTCAAAGATTATTTGGAAAAAGAGGTGCAAAGTGCCAGTGTTAGAAATCATCAGACAATAATGAAGTAGACACTAATGGTAGTCATTGGTTATACAGCAAAAATGGGCACTACAAAGAGGGCGTTGACTGGGAGGGGGGTGTGTGTGTGTTGTTACAAATCTTTTTTCTTTAGAAAAAGATTTATGTCTTCCATGCTTTTAATCATAGCACTCAGGAGGCAGAGGTAGGTAGATATCTGTGAGTTGGAGGCCAGCCTGGTCTACAGAGTGAGTTCCAGGAAAACCAGAGCTGCATAATAGAGAGACCCTGTCTTAGAAAGGAAGGAAGAAAGGAAAGAAGGAAGGAAGGAAAGAAGGAAGGAAGGAAAAAAGGAAGGAAGGAAGGAATTCTACTGGAATTATCTGTTCTATGCATAAGGAATCCATGAAACCAGAGAACATTAAACAAGTAAGTGAAAGTGGTTACTAATCACACGTTAGTAATTGCTAATTATTTAATACTTTGAGAGTTTGAACCCTCTGGGGATTCTGACCCGGGGGCACAGGAGCAATCTGGGAGAACTCCTCAGAGAGGACACTTAACTAGAGCAGCAGTCCCTTGCTCAGCTGTCTTCTCAGATCTCTTTGCTTGCACAGCCCATTCGCGTCCCAGTCACACTTCCCTTCTAAGTCTCTGAGAAACAGCCCAGGAAGAAAGACCGGGTGATCCTATTTACAGCCTCCTTCCACATACAGAATGAACCCCCTGAAGGGAAATAGCTTGATTTTTACTGGAACTCCGAGAAAGATGCTCACAGCTCAGCTTTACTACCATCCTGCCTCTTGTACTTTCAGCAACTCAAGCATCCCAACCTTGTCAACCTCCTGGAGGTCTTCCGGAAGAAGCGGAGGCTTCACCTGGTGTTCGAGTATTGCGACCACACAGTGCTTCATGAGCTGGACAGATACCAGCGAGGGTGAGTGGCCACCCCTTACCACAGAAACGGACAAAGCAAAGCTCACAAGGATTCGTGAGGGAAAGTAGCCATGGGGACTTTTCTTTAAGGCTGTGTAAGAAGCCATGCATGGTGAAATAAGACAGTTGACAGGTTGAAGCCACCCTGAGCCATAAACCCTGCCTCAAAAGCAAACAAAATAATAAAATAAAATTTAAAAAAACAAGTAAACAAAAGTAATGGTCACTGTATCTCTGATACTGGTTTAACAGGCCAGAAATTTCAAAAAGTGTGAAATAAGTTATAATGTCATTTCCATGAAGGAACTCACGAGTAACATAATAACACGAGAGACAAACCTTGTCGTCCTTGGTCCATGGCTCTGCACTGAAGTTGCAGCAGCCTCTCTGAAAGAAGAGGGAGGAGGAGAGGAGATATTTTGTGTCCAACTAGGGAAGCATAGTGAGTGGCTTGGACTTCAGAAGAAAGCATTTCTAAAAGAATGGGGACACATACCTGTGATTCCAGTTCTTGGGCGGCTGAGGCATGAGGACCACCAGTTTGAGGCCAACCTGGGCTACACAATAAGACTTGGCCTCAAAATACATACATGCATGCATACATGAATGAATGAATGAGGAAGGAAGGAAGGAAGGAAGGAAGGAAGGAAGGAAGGAAGGAAGGAAGGAAGGAAGGAAAAGGAAGGAAGGAAGAAAAAACCTAAAGCCACCTGAGTATTTGGTTTGCTGCATTAGTCAGGACATCTTTGGTAGAGTGACAGAAACTGAGCTTGAGGTGAGCGCCAGTCGAGAGCGCAGGCGCAGGAGGCTGTGACTGGAAGAAACTGTTGAACAGCCAGCCGCAATGATGCAATTATCCCTGGAGCCATTTGCTGTGACTGGAAGGAGACAGAGAAAAATTACTAGTAGGTCATGGGAGTTAGAATTTAAAACGAGTCAAGATAAAAGGCTTCCTGGCGGAGGCGACATGCAGTTCAAAATAGGGAGAATTTAGAGAAGTTGGTAAGAGAAGATTGTCCCATTCATTTTTCTTACTCCATTGCTAGTGGTGGGGCAGCTACCTTGGCTGGGGAAATATGGAGAGTGCCTGGCAGGTCAGAGTTGTGGAATAGTGGACTGACCCCGGCTTGTGTCCTCACTCAGCGGCCAGAGGACAAAATTCTTCTCACATTTTTTCTCAGCTTTGCCCAGGAGCTCACGCTCCCTGTGACGTTTCTTATATATGATCTGTCATGACCTCCTGGTAAATGAGATTAAAGTTGCTTGCAGCTTGTTAACGTCCATGAAGCAGGATTTTCACGATCCAGAATGTTAGAGCCAAGAAGACAGGCTCCCCCCTTCAGAGAGTCGTCAGCACAGAGGAATGATGTCTGAAAACGAGAGAGCATCTTCTGTGTTGATATTTGCTCTTTCCGGAGCTTGCAGGAAGCACTCTGCAACTTTGCTAGTGTAGTTTCTGCTGCTGTATGGTACAGTGGAGACACTGCAGGGGATGCGGCTGCTCACGGTTGGCCCATTTCCCTTGTTCTTACACTGTAATCAACACAGAAGCCTTCTGGAACCTCAACCGCATATAATCCGCCCATGTAACAAACACGTCATTAACTGTGCCCCAGAAAGCGGCGAGCTGGGTGTCCCCGATCTAATCCAGTCCTCTTCCTGTCTACCCAAAAGCAGCAATAAATCTCACATGTTCCTGACTTGAACGACCCGACTGCCTGCCCCCCTTAGAAACACGCCACAGCCGAGCTTATTATACCTCTGCTTCTGAGCGACCGCCTGAAGCGGGATCCCCGTGACTCGCCTCATCCTTGGGTTTGAGTCATCTACTCCGGCAACACGCGTAACCATGGGAAACATCTGCTCATATTTGCCGCTTTATTACAAAACAAACAAACAAACAAAAAACCCACAAAAGACAAACAGGGTCAAGCATGAGAGAAGGTGTATGGAGCCCACTCTCTGGGAAGCCCCACAAGTTCAGTTCTTGCCCTTTCGGGTGCTGATGGGAACTCCACTGAGTAGGCACGGTTGCTAAGTGACTGCTCAGGGAACTCAACAAGAACCTGTCTGTTGAGATTCTTCTTGACTTATCTGTGATACATTCATTCTGCCAGAATAGGGGTCAGGGCCCCTGGGGATGAGGACGGTGGCTTTCTTTATGACCATCTATCTCTAAGACAGAAATGAGGGTTGGAGGTAGAGGGATGGGAGATTGAGTTTTTATGACCTGCCTTCAGGAAGGAGTTATGAATCAGGTATAGTAAACTCTTCAGATAGTCAGAGATAGATAAATGGGTGTGCGTGCTTTTGTGCGCATGTGTGTAACACTGTGGTAAATGTTTGAGAGAAACAGCTGTTTAGGGAGAAGGACGTATTTGAGCTCCTGATCTCAGAGGCTCTGGCTCACGGTTGACTGACTCCATGGGTCGGGGCCTGAAGCTCTGCAGGACACTGTGATAGGGAGGTTGTGGAGATAGGGCAAAGCTGCTTATCTCTGACCAGCAGGAACAGAGGGGAGTAACAGGAAGGGTCAACACTTACCCTTGAAGTCATGCCCCCAGCGACTTCCTTCTACAGCTCCACTCTCCCCCAGTAGTCTATTCAGATGTTGAGCTCATTGGCTAATGACCCTACTTATATTAGGTCAGAACCCTTGTCATCCAGCTGTCGCTGGAAAACCCCTCACAGACAGGGCCAGTGGCATGCTTCACCCTCCATCCAGTCAAATGATACTCAGATTTACCATCAGGACAGAGAGGGGGCGGGGAAGAGAGCAAGAAAACCTTAGCTAGGATAACGGCAAGTCTTGTTAAATTAAATTTGATGAAGGCATTTTACCTAATGAGAAGGCTCTCACCAGAAGTGGGTGTGGATGCAGCCAAACTGTCTCAGTGTGGGGACGAAAACAGATGGCCTGCTTTCCCTCACCAAATTCTTTGCTCCTCATAATGATTATAAACTGATTTTTTTTTCATAAATCGCTGAGCCTTAAGTCAGTAGTCAAGGTTTATACAAAGATGTTGCTATAAACAGAGTTGCTGCTCTGGTTTTATGCGCTGGGCTGGCTCATTTGTCTGGTTGTTCACCTCACTGCAGCACAACGGACACTGTCTCGGGTGCTGACAAAGCCCCGTCTGGAGGGCTGGAGACCATGGCCACAGTGGCCGACTTGCCAGCTGCTTTGCCAAGAAAGTGCTTCATGCCTTGTGTTCTAGGGCGAGTTCTCTATTTCAACAAGACACTTTTATATGTTTTACATGCATTGGAATATAATTTTTAGACCTATTATTAATATAAATCATTACATCAAATTATATTATTGCTAGCTATTTTTCCATTACTGAATATTCAAGAAGTTTTCAGCATTTGGTCTGATAAATAAGTCTACTACAAGTTTTTCCTACAAATAGCTTTTTTTTTCTTTGCTTTCCCTTTAGAAGTTTTCAAACCAGGACTCTCATGTATACATTTCCCCAAACTAAACAAATTACCACCCATGATGCAAATAGATATATATTTTTGCTTATAACTAACTCTAACTTATTATAGCTTCAGTTCTATTATTAAACTATTTTATGTGTGAAGTCGATCAAATGTATAAGGAAGGAATAATAGCAACCCTATCCAAACTCTTCTAAAAAATACAGAAGAAACATTTCCCTAGTACTTTTCTGAGCCCAGCCTATCCTGATGCAAAAACCAGATAGAGACGTTTCAAATCAATGATGAGTGTTTCTCATGGGTCCAGGAGAAAAATCCCTGCTAAAATTATTAGCAGATAATGTAATGTAAAAAGTGGCACATTGACATTTCCTAACCTAACATTTTTAGATAACCTGGCTTCCTGTTTCTAAATTTAATTTATTTTATGTGTATGAGTGTCCTGCCTGCATGTACATTTGTGTGCTATGCAAATGCCCAGTGTTCTCAGAAGGCAGAAGAGGATGTTTGTCTTCTGGAAATGGAGCTATGGATGGTTATATACTATCGTGTGGGTGCTGGAACTGGAGCTATGGATGGTTATATACTATTGTGTGGGCGCTGGAAACTGAACCTGGAACCTCTGCAAGAACAGCAAGTTACTTAACCTCTGAGTCATCTCTTCAGGCCCTGTAGGCTCCCAGTTTTGACAGATGAAGATTTAGTTCTCACAAATCATTATCCCCTCTGCTTCCCTATACCAATTCTCCAAATGCTTATACTATTAATTTAATATTAGCTAATATATACTATACCATTATGCCATACCATAGTTTCATATTGTATTTTTGTTGTTTTTTGAGGCAGAGTCTCCCTAACTAGCTTTCACTGTCTTGGGACTCACCTTATAATAAAGCAGGCCGGCCTTGAACAACAGAGCTCCACCTGCTTCTGCCCTCCCCCATGCTGGGATTAAAAGCGTGCACCACTGTGCAGACTTTCTTACTGCATTTTCCTCAAATTAATATTGTCTTTGCCCTTTAAATTTCCTTAACGTTCTTTAACCCTATTGAGAATTTCCCCTAGTTTTAAAATAGCCTCTATACTTCTCTGTAGGGCACTCACATCCGATTCCACCAGTCCCTATTCGTTTGTTTCTTATTTCTTGGTGGCACCCTGCCTTTAGTCCCCTGTGTCAAAGCCTAATGTCCAGCTGCCCTCCTGGTACCTCCTTCTGCTACTCTTGCAATTCCCCCTGAATTTCTCTGCAGTTGAATTCCTTACTTCCCGAGTTTCCTGTCCTCCTCTTTCTGGGTTTACTTAATAATTTTTTTCCCAGCACATCTATCTCTAACTGTAAAAAGATAGTATACTTGTTCAGAAATCAGATATTTTTTTTTAAATTTGCTTATTTATGTGTTTTTATGGATGCTCTCTCCTCATGCACACCAGAAGAGGGCACCAGATCAGGTGGTGGTGGGAGTTGAACTCAGGACCTCTGGGAGAACAGCCAGTGCTCTTTAACCACTGAGCCATCTCTCCAGCCCCCTAAATTAGATGTTTCTAATGATACCTCCCCAGCACTAGCACCTCAGCATCCCCTCAGAGGGAAGCAGACACGAGTCATTTGTGTTTCTGGGGTAAAACAAGCTTCCCAAAGCAGAAGGAAAGAACACAGCGCAGCTGGGCTCCCAGCTTTCGGGAGGCAGAGATCAGGAGTTCCAGGCCAGGTCAGCCAGGCAACACAGTGAAACACTGTTTCCAAATAACAACCACAAAAGAGCACAGCTCAGATACAATGGAAGGAGGTTTGAGAGCAGGCTTTCTTCTATAGTCTTCCTTGACAGATGGATTCCTGTCCACCATCCCTGGAAAGAGGAGCTATGGAGCTGGCCACTGTGTGGTTTGTACAGTTTCAACACCGAGAAGTGTGTGATCATGTGCTCAGCAATCGAAGAATATTAATAATATGATGTTATAAGTCCTTGTGAATTCTTTATTTTGGGAAATGTCTTTGGAGACTCAGTTTCTTGGCACTTACAACTTTATGTTGCAAAGTCACTGAATAAGTACAATGCATTTTTCCCGAACAAGAGTTGGGTGCAGGGAGCTTTGGAAGTCCACTTCTTCGTATTCTTCTAGGCCGTTTTTCCAGATAGGTGAGTTTTCCTGGTGTTTGTGCCTGCATGTCACTAGAACAAGGAAGAGGATTTGGTGAAAAGCTACCTCAAGTCTGAAAACAATCCTAATCCAAAAAACGTCCTGACTATTCTTCCTGGAAGTGGCCTCCTCATTTCCGGCCCGCTGTCCCTGTGTCTGTCCAAGCATCCTTTGATTTGCCTGAAAGGATTTCCGGCACATCTGGTCTATGACAGCAGTGGCCTTGTGGCCTCTCCCAGGGCTAGAAGTGACTTTCTGTGATCACCTTTAGTGCTGCATGCATTTCCTCCCTGGTCTGCACATCAGCTTTGGCTGAAGGCCACAACAACGTTTAATTTTTGATTCATAAAAATAATAAGTCCAGCGTGTGTGTGTCCGGGGGTGGTCTCCAAAAATAAACAATTCTCTTTCTAATCACTCCTTGGCCCATACTTAAAATGCTTCTCTCCTGATGAGATGCCTTTTTCCGTTCACATGCAGTGTTTGTCAGGGCTCCAGGCCGCCATGGTTAAATCGACCATGAGCCAGTGAGGAAGGGATGGAGAAAGAGGCCCAGTTAGATACTGGGATGGGGAAGGGGCAGGAAGATGTGAGGGTGATGTGGTTGGCAAGGAGAGGTGTGTGTAGGGAAGGGAGTGTGGTGCTTATCTGTGCTCTAATTATTTTGATCTTTAGTTATACAGCATGCCACATAAACCTCTTCCTTGTCACAGGGAAGCCTCACTTCTCTCCCTTCAAAGGAAACAAACCATGCAAGTCACTCAGGCATCCGGAGATGCTGCACACAGGGGGAAGCCTTGCTTTAGGACCATAGTCTAGAGCACCCTGAGCAAAGACACAACATTGTTTTTTTGGGCTGTTTATTCACTAATTTTACGTTAGTAAGGTCTGCATTACAGAAATGGGGCCTGGTGGCCCATGCCTGTAGTCCCAGCACTAGGACTCTATACAGGATGAGCCCGAGTTTTAGGTCAGTCGGGGCCACCATAGCAAAAAGCATGCCTCAACCCTCTCCTAAAAAACAAAACGAAACAAAACAAAGAAAGAAGTTGAGGAGGAGTTCAAGTTTCAGGCAGTCCCAGGATATAAATACTCGTTGAAATCCCTGTGGGCTTTCATGAGTCTTTCCTGTAAAAACCCATGTTTGTGAACTTGATTTCCCTCCCGTTCCGCAGTGTGCTGGCCACACACTATTAACACTCTGGGTCTCAAGAGGGTTCTGTCTCCTGGGATGTTTCAGTCCCAAAGCCTGCACTGGTTTGGATTGGGTTTCTTGAGCGGCATTCCACCGCGGGAGTGAAGAACGTGTTTGTCTGTGTTTTGTTTTTTATTAGGGTACCAGAGCATCTCATGAAGAACATAACTTGGCAGACACTGCAGGCTGTAAACTTCTGCCATAAGCGGAACGTAAGTCTCCTGCTCGCCTTTGAAAACTCGGGCGGCTTTTCCTAGGCCACGGCTGAGCCTTGTTCAAAGTTCCTATCACACCTTGGTGGGTATAATTTTTCATAAAACTGGCCGGCCTAAGAGACTGAAATCCCCGGCTTAGCTATCCCTTTGTATGCAGATCTTATGACTCAGACATTTTAAGAACTATTTAGGGGCTAGAGAGATGGTTCAGCGATGAAGAGGACTGGCTGCTCTCCCACAGGACCTGGGTTCAATTCCCAGCACCCACACTGTAGCTCACAGCTGTCGGTAGCTTCAGTTCCAGGGGCTCTGACACCTTCCCACCAATGCATATAAAGTAAAGTTAAACAAATTGTTTTTAAAACACCATCTAAAGAAACTAGTCCCATTTTTTAAACTTTAAAAATGTGAGGCAGAAAGCTCCTCACTTACTTAGCCTGCGATGGCTTGGTTTCCTGAAAAGGCTTTGAAATTGGGAGGGGCAACCACAGAGGCCTCATGCCTGGTCAGCTGCAGTTGCATGGGTGGAGTTCCAAGCCCAGGGTACAAGTGTCAGTGTCTGCTTTGGTGAGATAAAAATGCTAAAGCTGCCTCTGGTTCTCCTTGCCACAGCTGGGCTGGAGGGAGTCAGAGTGGAAGACCCAGGTGACAGGCCTTCATAGATGCTGAAAAACCTGCTGCACTCTCCCACCCCTGCCGCCTGTGGTGGCATTTCATTTGCATTTTAACAATAATATTTTGAGTTTTTATTAATCATGTTACAGCTGCCTGCTTCCAGGCATAGATGCCAGCTTCCTGGGTTCAAACACAGTTGTGTGCTTGCTCAGAATAGATGAGGCCTTAGGTGGGATCCCCCAGCACAGCAATCAATGGACTTACCAATGAATCAATACAGCAAAAAGGGGGGAAAAAAAATTAGATTCCAACCGCTAAAAGCAAAATCCCAGACTGCAAGTTTAGAATTTCATTCTAGCCATGCATACAATTGGACTGCAGCCATCTGTTAGCTCAACTCCCAGGCCACCCGAGCCTAAGGGGTTAGATCCCTAGAGCCTGCCCAGGTGAGGTTCTTCTGAAGCTGCTTTTCAAGAAGAAAAGAGAACAGCCACTATTTTGCTTTCATTAGTTGAAGCCTAGAATCTGTGTCAGAGCTGGGGTGGAACTCCATGTAGACCTCTCGCCTAGCATGAGGTCTTGGGTTTGACTCCTAACACCGAGAGAGAAAAAAAAAGCAGTGTTTTACAGCAGAAGACGTGGACAGTCCACACACACACACACACACACACACACACACACACACACACACCCGTCCTTGGCATTCATTGGTGGTGAGCACTTTCCCAGCAAACCAATTTCAGTACGGAGGCGGCAGGAAGGAGAGTGGGGGAGGCCCAGAGGGAAGCGGGGAGGGAGAATGAGAAAGTTAGCTCTCCAGCCAGCCCTGGTGGGGAAGAGCTGTGGACGTGAAGACAAACAGCGTACCACAGCTCCCTGGAGAGCCCCAGACTCGGTTCGTGCGCTGGGGGCGGGGGACGCTAAGTGGAGGAGGGTGCCGAGTCGGGGGAGGGTGCGGAAGCTTGTAAGGAATTCCCAAACAGAGCGAAAGCACATTCTTGCTTCTGAGTCCCTCTGCCCATATGTCATCGTGGCATTCATGGAAGGGCCTATTTATAGCAACATGTAAAATGCCTGGTGAAGGACTTCGGACCCCGGAGCCAGCGGTTACTGAGAAGCAGATAGCGGAACTTAACCCTCCCCCAGCCTTTCCAGAATGAAAATGCTGGTGGGAAAAGCCCGATGCCGCTCTCTCAGCCCCCACCGTCCTTTGGAGTGGGAACTGCTGGGCCCACGAGGAAACTCTGTCCTCTTTCCAGATTCTAAGAAAGTCAGGGATAACCCCAAGGGTTTCAGGCGTCAGGCCAGCGGTCTCTAGGGCGGCAGAAAGATCCGACATTTCCCAGCAGAGAGGAAAACCCTTGGAATATTTTGTCCCAACTTAATTTCTAAATGTAATCGTTGGTTAAATGTTGTTGACTGAAGAGGTTTATTAAATTATTTTTTCAAAGAAATTGTCGTTTAATAAGCAAGTTCTGCGTAGCTTCACCCTGTTAACGCGGCTAGATATCAGGTGATGGGGCTGCACAGTGCCGGAGCCGCCTGCGCCGGCAGAACCCTGGCCGTGCGGTGGGACAGAGCTGACACCTAGCGACTCACCCCAGAGGGTGAGGCTGCAGCCTGTGCTTGTTTATCTTGTCAGGACAAATGTCAGAACTGCAAGGGAGATCTCTTGGCGAGCGTGGCTTCCCGCCCAATCTTCCCCGCTTATATCAGCAGGCCCAGGGCTTGTCCTGTTTACCTACCGAGCAGGCCGCGTTTTGGTGAACTCTCCTGATGCACCACGCTGTAGCTCCTGCTACAGGCTGTGGGTCTCAGAGCCTTCAGTCCTTTCTCCTTCACCTACAGCCGGCAGGTTAAGTGTGACTTCTAGTTAAACACGAAGTTCCCCTTTCTAATACAGATTGGATGCAGTGTGAGGTCACTGGTGGAGTGCAGTTTGTGGATAAGGTCCCGGATTGATCCCCAACACTGAAAAAAAAAATGTCATTTATCTGAAATCCAAATGTAACCAGTTGTCTCACACATATTGCTTTGCTGAGGCTAGTCCCTCTCCTTTCCTTTGTCCTGTCACACTTCTTGGTCTTTGGGGTCCTTCAGGAATTTAAAATGATTCTGTCTATAGGGATGGTACTAGCTTTAGTCTGTTGTTGTCTTATTCAACGGGCTAATGAAAAATTAAAGTGATGTAGCCATTATTTGCTAAATATCCCCGCCCTTTGCTCACGGTTTGTGTTACGGTCGCTCCTTCATAACATTCTTGTCTTGCTTTCTTCTCACCAGTGCATCCACAGAGACGTGAAGCCCGAAAACATTCTCATCACAAAACACTCCGTCATTAAGCTCTGTGACTTTGGGTTTGCACGGCTTCTCAGTGAGTACTGACGCTTTCTCTGGGGTAAAGGAAATATTCTTGCTATGAGAGCTGGTCTAGACTACAGGAGGCCTGTTCTTGTGTTCTGCCTAGGAAATAACCTTGCTATAAACTACAATTCTTGCAGAATTTTGTAAGGGAATATAACTTGAAAAATGCATAAGCCCACAATGGTTTAGTTGTGTGGGCTATATGTAAATTGTACCACAGGGGTCATTATAAGGCGTGCCAACCTCCTAATTTTTACCCTCGCCTTGCTTCCCCCCTGAACTAACACTCCCCATTAGTAATGTTTTAGACAGGTGGTTTTTAATCTTGGCTGCCCGATTAACACTGAGGAACTTTAAAAACTGGGCTGGTAACCTTGGACCCTCTCCAAGTATTCTGATAGTCGGATTGGAATGAGGCCAAAGAATCAGTAACTTCAAAATTCCTAGGGCCAAGTGATGGTAGCTAGCAGCCAGCACTGAGAACAGTGATCTGAAAAGCTATAAGCTTCTGAGGTCAAGTTTCCCTGCTCAGTTTGGATTCCGGCCTTCCACTAGTCTGTTTCCACCTTCCTTCACTCTCCAGCTGGACCAGGTGACTACTACACAGACTATGTGGCCACCAGGTGGTACCGCTCTCCTGAGCTGCTGGTGGGGGACACACAGTATGGCCCCCCAGTCGATGTCTGGGCGATCGGCTGCGTCTTTGCTGAGTTGCTGTCCGGAGCGCCTCTGTGGCCGGGGAAATCTGACGTGGATCAGCTCTATCTGATAAGGAAAACCCTGGGTAAGTGTTATTTCTGTGCTGACTTTTAGAGAACTGGCTAGCTTTCCCCGTGACAGCGCCACATTCCCAGCTCACCAGATGCCAGGGAACTTCGGAGCCTCACAGAAACGGCAGAAACAGCGCCACGAAAAGTGTCTACAGTTTATTTAAATAACAATAATGAATGCCGCTTACTGAGAATTCACTAAGTGTCCAGAAGATCAGGACTTCTGTCTTGAGCTTGCGTTGGATCCAGCTAACTTCTAGAAGCCTCGTCTTGGCAATGCAAACACTATAAGGATTTGCTGGTCACAGCCGTTTTTGTGGCCAATTTCATTTACAGGCCGAATATCATTCAGAGTGCTTGGACTAGAAGTGTTGATGACTTTGGAGATTGGGGCCCAAGCCTAAACAGAAAATTCATTATGTTTCATTTACACTTTATCCACATATCCTGAAAATCATTTTATGTACTCTCTTTAGTGTGCCTGTGGTTTGCCTGTGACCCATCATCTGATGTCGAGTGTGGAATTTTCTACTTGTGGTATCATGTTGGTGCTCAGCTTCAGATTTTTTAATTAGGGCTGCCAAGCCTGTAGTAGGATGTGGTGACTCAGTCAGGTGTCCTTGTCTGCAGCCTGCCTGGCAAGTTTTGGATTATTCAGACTCTGTAGCAGAGGAAGCGCCTTCGCCTTCTAAGCACCAAGAAGAAAGACTGGTTTTTCTCGTGCCATTTTTGTTATATTTTTAATTTTGTCTTGCTTTTCCCCTAGCACTAAGGTGAATGGTAAGGACAGAAGAAGAAAAAGAGGGACAGTGAAGAGATCTATAAGCAATGACTATTCTTTCCAAAATCCAGGGGTTAGATTTTACTCTGCCACGGAGCCCAATTTAAGGTAGAATTTCTCCATAAACACTTGTAGAATCAACAACCACCAGGGAATTTTGTCTTCCCAGATACTGAAAGCGGCCTGCGGGTGAGACTGTGGTTCCTATTTTTGATACCTCCACCAATGTCTTAGACAATGCAGCCTCCGTAAAGCTCAGGCTGGGACTTCCTTGACCGGTTTCCCCAGTGGCTTTAGAGCACTCTCCTCAAGTTACTCCAGCCTTGGTGGGAAAGGCTGTCAGGACCCAGGGATATGTGTCTCCTCTATGCACATACATGAAATTAATTTTTAAAGCTAGTATGTAGGCTAAGGGGCTCCATTACAGCATTTTCAGACATATGAGTCATCGTCCTAGAGGCTATATTTTTGCTTGCTTGTCTACAGTAGAGCGAGGTTCTGTATTTGAGTGACAGGTAAAATTGTAAACCTTAACCCTAGACAGGCGGAGCTCTAGTTAGCTAAGAGCTGGGGTCCTAGCTGTGGTGACAGCACCACAGGCTTTGGAGGCCTTTGTGGTCATTTGTGCCCCCCCCCGCCCCGGAAGCCCCTCATTCTATTTCCTCAACAGAAGTCTTTCACGGTAAGATCTCTAGGACTTCATATGAAGACACTATCAGCCCATTTGGCTGCCATGGCTACAGAATGAGCATCATTTAACAAGAATCTAGAGCTCTGTTTCAGTGTTTCACGCTATAAATGCTTCTAAATAGTAGGTGAGGTCAGGTTTCCAATGGATGGCCAGCTGGTGAAACAGGACAAGGTGGTTTCAATTTGGAAATGGGTTCCTTTCAGAAAGCAGACCTTCCATTAACCCGTCTGGTTCAGAGTCTTCAAATACATTATAAGCTCACGGTGGCAAGAGCCTTGCAGCCTGCCATTTCTGCTCCTGACACACCGTCCCTGTAGCAGTCAGTGTAGGCTGTGCTGCGTGGATGTTTCTCCTGCCAGGGAAAAGAAAGCTGCAACCTTAGCAGCTGGAGGCACAGGTCCACACTGCTGCTGTGTGGGGGGATGGGGGCGCAGCGCCATGTTTCCTGAATAATCACACTTAACTTCAGTCTCTTCTTGTCCAAAGGGGATCTCATTCCCAGACACCAGCAAGTATTTAGCATGAATCAGTACTTCAGTGGGGTGAAAATTCCAGACCCTGAAGATGTGGTGAGTAATTCATTTTGGAGGCGGCTCCTTAGATTGGGCTAGCTAGGTTTTGGTAGTCACTTTTCTGGGGCCCATGGCTCAGTCAGCATTGAAAATTTTGTCTAAGAGTGACAAAGAAAATTGGAGCCAGCTGGTGGGCAAGTCTTCGAAGGCCCTGGGAGCAGAGGCTAGCCCAGCCTGTGGGACGGGAGAGCAACACTGACTGCCGGGGTGTAGCCCTCCATCATTGTCATCAGCTCTGCACAGGAGCAAACCTAAGAATTGAGTCATCCGGTGAAAGCAGCTGCTTTCCCCCAGCATTGTCTAAATTCCTTGTTCTATGGTGTACTTACTTCCCAGAACATGGGAGCAAAACCATAATGACCCGATTCTGCTGCTGCATGGTTAATGTGGGGAAAACACTCCTTTAAGAAAATCTACATGCTTATATCCCCAACCTGTTTTTGATAACTCATCCCAATGAAACCATTAGACAAGGGTCTGGAGGTGTGGCATTGACATCATTGCCTTTAGTACTTAGTAGGAGGAGAAGTTACAGATCTCTGTGCAATAGCCGACATGGGGCCAATAAACATGATTAGCTCTGTTTATTCATCTGGAAAAGCCTACAGCAGGTTGTTGAGTGAAGAAAGTGGTTATTGAACAGTATAATTTAAAATAATTTAAATAAATATTTAATAAAATACTTTTATTAAATGCACATAAAAATATAAATCATATGGCAATCTCTGGGAACTCATGCAAATTTTTGCTTTATTTTTCCTTTCAGAGAAGGTCTTAGTTTATAGCTCAGGCTAGCTTTGAACTTGTAAAAAATGTCAATTCTTTATTTATGAATATGGGTGTTCTTGTCTGCATATATGTCTATGCCTGATGCCCATAAAGGGCATAAGAGGTAGTTGGATCCCCTGGAAGTAGAATTACAGATGGCCCTAAGCCACCATGTGGGTGCTGAGAATTAAACTTCAGTCATCTGGAAAAGCAGCCGATACTCTTAACAGCTCAGCCATGTCTCTAGCCCGGGGTTTGAACTTTTGATTCTCCAGCCTCATGATCCTGAGGGCTGAGATTACAGGCATATGCCATACCAGACTATTTATGTGAACCTCTTTACATTTCTTAAATGGTTAAGAAAGAATGTCTTTCTCTTTTTGTTTTTTTTTTCCTGTTTATTTTTATTATTTGTTTGTTTGCTTGCTTTGTTTTGTTTTGTTTTCGAGACTGGGTTTCTCTAAGTAGCTTTGGAGCCTATACTTAAACTCACTCCGTAGACCAGGCTGACCTCGAACTCACAGAGATCTGCCTGCCTCTGCCTCCCAAGTACTAGGATTAAAGGTGTGCGCCACCAGCACCTGACTTTTTCTGTTTATTTTTGAGACAGCCCAGACTGGCCTTAAACTCCTGATTCTTTTGCCTTCATCTCTCAAGAACTGGGATTAAATGTGTGTACTACCAAGTTCAGTTACAGTGGGTATAACTTTGTAGTGAGATTTTTGGGTACTATTTTCATCCCCCCCCCCCTTTTACGTCTTTGAAATGTCTTCTAAGGGGTCTGTGTCACAGTATAAAAGTATTTCATGACTTGGGGTGGGTGTAGCTCAATGGTCGAGTGCTTTCCCAGCAGAGCCTGGTTATTTCCTAACACAGCAAAGAAAAGAGTAATAATAAAACTTCAGGGCACAGTTTGTGAGTCGGGTTTCTACTGTCTGAGAAAGCCGCTTTTAGCTGGAAACTAATACTTTGGTTCCTTGTAGTTAGTTACCTTCTGTCTTTGTCCACAAGCAAAGCGTCCATTTCCCCAGGGCATTACCAGCACCGGGGAAAGTGGGTCACGTTGGTCCCGTTTGGAGAGGCAAGCTCAGCACCTGGCTTATGGGAAGCGACCCACTGGCTCCCTTGTGACCTGGACATCCCCAGTTCTGCACCAAATATCCCTTAGCAATTTCCTGGCTAATTGTCTGCTGGTGAAGTCTCAGAAATAGCCCCGGCTCTATAAATGAGAAGCGCCACTCCTGATTCCCAGGGGTTGTCCTGCAAGGGATTTCCTGTTGACAGAAACTCGGGAAGCAGCAGCACCGGGCTGTGCTGGTTGAACATCTGTGCTCTCTCCCTCTCCGGATCAGGAACCCTGCCTAGCCAGGCCTGCCTGCTGCCTGCTGGGGCTGGGGAACTGGTTCAGCAGGCTGGAGGGACCTGGTGTATTCCAGTCAATACAGGTCACCCTAGGTATTGTCCCTGAGATAGGAGGGCTGACTTTAGCAGCGTTGCTTACATTAGATAAATACGTGGAAAGAGCAATTATTGCGGGGTCCAAAGCCGCACTCTCAATGACTAAGACAATACATTTCGATTTTTTTTCTCATCTTGTTAAATGGAGGCACTTCCTTCTGCGGTCATTAGCATGAGTGCAGTTGAGAATTTATGTTGAGGCTCCCAGTTTAAAATCATGCTGCCCGGAAGCTCTGAACCACAGCCCAGCCCCATGCATTAGATGGGCCTGGCCAATCGCGCCTGCCCTCAGCTCACACTACCATATTCACCCACAATGCACTGCGGACACTGATTCTGTTGCGCTTCCATTGTCAATTAGCGTCAATTAGGGTCAGCTTCAGTAGACAGCTCCTCACCTATTCACAGCAGTCCTCTCTCTGGGGAAACAGAGCCTGTTGGGGGAGACTCTAAACCGTGGGCTGATCAGAGACACAGGCGCTTGTGGGAGGTGACCAGTGTTTATTCCAGAAATCCAAAAAGCATGAGCTCATCTGAAGTTTCCTTTATAGAAATGTCAATAAATGCAATAATTAGTGCCCACTTTGATAATGCTGTTAATTTAAGGGCCAAAAATTATTGTCAGGAAAGACATTTTATACAAAACAAGACAAAACCCAAAACCAAAGCAAAAACCAACAAACAAACAACACAAAAAACAAGCAAACAAAAAACTCAAAACCCCAAAACTAAGAACTTGGCACGTGCCTTGTTCCTGCTGTTTGTTCTCATTCTTGTCCATTGGTGTTTAATTACAATGCTCCCTTCTTCAGGGAGTGATTGGGAAACAAAATTGAAAAGGTATTCTGGAGGTGAAGGGAGAAAGGGCTTATGAACAGTCACAAGGAGGTTGTTCCTGGTAGGAGGTAGAGTGGAAAAGGGTGGAGGAGGCAAGGAAGATGCCAGGAAGAAATTTAGTGCCAGGTAACTTCAATCAAAATGCATGCTGTCAATTAAAAGTCCCCTTTTCTTTTTGACAGGAAACCCTTGAGTTGAAATTTCCAAACATCTCCTACCCCGCCCTGAGCTTCTTAAAGGTAAAGTCATGATTTTCACAAGACCAGGAAGCACACAGTTGTCAGAATTTTCAACTGATGAAATGTTCTTTAAAATCCTTTTCCTTTGAAAAACATCAATTTTGGGCTGGAGAAATGGCTCAGTAGTTAAAAGCACTGGCTGATCTTCCAGAGGACCCAGGTTCAATTCTCACACCCACATGGCCGCTCACAACTGTCTGTAATTCCAGTTCCAGGGGATCTGACACCCTTACACAGACATACATTCAGGTAAAGCAAAATCAGGTAAAGAAATGTTCCAGTTCCAGGGATTCTGATGCCCTTTTCTGGCTTCTGTGGGTACCACACACATGTGGTGCACAGACATACATGCAGGCAGGCATTCATACATATAAAATACAAATAAATAAATCTTTAAATGGTCAACTCCTGTATACTTTAAAGTTGGTTTACACATATATTTTTAGAACTATTGCTTATGTAAAAATGTGGTACAGCAACAGTTTGCAATGGAGAGCTAATTTCCCAATCTTTCCAAAAGTGGTCAAAGTTCACTGATGCTGTGTACATGCACGAAATTGTCAAAGGACACATACAGAATAAAGTCAGTTTTTTGGGATATATAGCTGTGAGTGCTGTCTGATTATGAGCCCCGTGGTCTGTTTGAGGACAAAGAAGGAGTTAAGAAGGATGCACTATAAAGGACTGTGTCCTTCCTTGTGTACATACATGCCTGTAATGCAGACTGTTCTAGACCTAGCAAAAAGGCTGGTGGGTTTCAAAAAGGGGATGGGAAAACTAGAGTAGTGGAGGCTGATGACACTAGGGGCTTCATGTTTACCATGTACGAATCTAATTCTAGAACAAAATACATTTCTACTATGTACGAACCTAATTCTAGAACAAAATACATTTCTACCATGTACGAACTTAATTCTAGAACAAAATACATTTCTACCATGTACGAACCTAATTCTAGAATAAAAGTACTAAATACCTAAGCAAATTATTCCCATCAGTCACTGAGCTGAACTCCAAAATCGTGTACTCCCCTGTGGCAGGGCACTGAATGCCCCCAGAACACGAGAAGAAGACCCCCCCTCAACATTTATCCCTTCTATTTCCAACTGACGAGTGTTCAGTGTTTCACAGAAAACTCATTTCTCACTCATGCTCAGGCTAAAAAAGACTGATTTGGGGCAAGTAGAGAGTGAACTAGTGGTCACCAGAGGCGAGGAAGGGTAGGAAGGAGGAGAAGCAGACGCTGGACAAGCGGCGCCAGCACGCAGTCAGGGGTATGTTCTATGTGGGACAGCACAGCAGGGTGACTGTAACATAATTTGTTGCATATTTGATGAAGAAACAGAGAAGAGTTAAGGCTCCTAACAGAAAAATGGTAACTGTTTAAGGAAATGGAAAACTAATTTTCTTGATCACTTCTCATTTGTATGCATGCATCTAATTGCCACACAGCATCCAATACATTTGTATAATTGTATCAATTAAAATGATGAAAATCAGTGCTGGAGAGGCTCGGCAGCTAAGAGCACCTGTCCCTTTTGGAGGACCTGTGGTGTGGGAAGTCAGACGCTGGACAGAACTTAGCCTGTAAACCACAGCCACATGGCGGTACACAGATGAATAGAAATGGATTAAATTAAGACGTAAGAGCTAGCCAATAAGAAGCTAGAGCTGATAGGCCAAGCAGTTATTTAATTACTATAGTTTCTGTGTGGTTATTTCGGGGCTGAGCAGCCGGGAACAAACAAGTGGCCTCCTACTACAGACCTGGCTTTGGTTCCCAGCATCCAAATAACTCAGTCAGCACCAGGTGTAATTGCAGTTCCAGAAGACCCAGTGCCTTCTTCTGACCTCTATGAGCACCGGGCACACGGGGTGTGTGTGCACCCATCCATACATGCAGGCAAAATATTCTTGTGCGTAAAGTTTAAACATCCAGGAAAAAATTTTAAAGTGATAAAAATTAAAAATAATGAATGTGCTCAGTCATTCAAAACAGAACATAAAAGTCATTGCAGCTTCAGGGATAAAACGGGGTTCTCTCTTCCCTCAGGGCTGCCTCCACATGGACCCGGCGGAGAGGCTGACATGCGAACAGCTGTTGCAGCATCCGTACTTTGACGGCGTTCGAGACGCTGGGGATCTGACAAGGCAGGACGACAAGTCCGTGAGGAAGACCCTGAGACAGAGTCGAAAGCACCCGGCTGGGGTAAGACTGGTGCATGCTTACACTTTCAAATCACCTCGTGCCTGAGGCCTGGTCCTGAGCTGGAATCTAGGTTGAGTGACAGCTGTGGCTTGAAGCCCCAGCATTCTTGGTCCAGAAATAGGAGACAGGATATCTACATTATCAACCAAGGCCTTAGAGACATCTGCTTCTTAAGGCCCTTTCCCAAATCCTAAAGTTGTCCTTGCCGAGCAGCTCCTGATGCCACACAGCCTGATGGGCACAGACTCGGGGGCAGGAGCGTCCATCACTGTGCATTCAGCTAACATGTTTCTCAACTTCAGAAAAGGAAATCAGACCTTCGTCATACCACCTCCAGTGTCAATACTGCAGTTTCTCCCAAAATGGCATTGTTTTCCTTTCTGGTCCTTTGTCAGAGTTGGCGAAGAGAAGCATAGCAACAAGGCCTACTGAATACCTGCAGGATAGCACAGTTAACAAGGACCTACTGAATACCCACAGGATAGCACAGTTAACAAGGGCCTACTGAATACCTGCAGGATAGCACAGTTAACAACAAGGGCCTACTGAATACCTGTAGGATAGCACAGTTAACAAGGGCCTACTGAATACCTGCCAGATAATACAGTTAACCACACAACAGGATCCAGCTGCAAACACAAATCAGGAAGAATCCTGACTGCTGTAAAGTGGTTACATTGCCTCAAATTAATTGGCAAAATCTGTAACAATCTAGAATCTAGTTGAATCGTAGCTAAGATGGGTTGGCTGTTCTTGATCACTTTTGGATCCATGTAGATGCATGGGCTTCAAATTATATTGCTTTGGTGTCTTAGCTATCTTCTGGTGTTCTGATAAAACAGTGTGACCAAGGCAACTGATAAAAGACAGCATTTAATTGGGGGCTTGCTTAGAGTTCCAGAGGGTGAGTCCATAACCATCCTAGTTTGGAGCATGGTAGCATGCAGGCAGGAAGGCAGAGAGGCATGGTGCTGGAACAGTAGCTGAAAGCATACCTTATCCACAGGAAGCACACAGAGAGAGACTGGCAAGGGCTTCTGAAACCTCCAAATCCACCCCAGTAACATATTTTCCCTAACAAGGCCATACCCCCTAATCCTTCCCAAACAGTTCCACCACCTAGGAACCAAGCATTCGAAATATATGAGCCTATGAGGGCCATTCTTGTTCAAACCACCACACTTAATCTTTCCTTTATAGGTCCCACTTCCACAAATACACACCTGGATAGTGTGTGTGTGTGTGTGTGTGTGTGTGTGCGCATGCGCACACGCATGTAGTGTTTCTGGGGCTGGAACTCAAGGCCTCTAACATGTAAGCAAGCAAGTTATTACTGGGACACACCTTCAGTCTTGTGTGGTTTTTCCTTTTTCATATGGGTTCTGTGTGTTTGTGCATGGTGGTGGGAACTCAACTGAAGACCTTGGTTGTTTTGTTTTGAGGCCAGTAACCCAGGCTGGTTCCACTGTGATCTTATTGCTTCAGCTCCGCGAGCGTGGGAATTGCATTTTGTGCAAACATATCTAGCTAGCTTGGATTGCTTTTTAAATATAAATCAAACCTTTGGAAGCAAAGGAAGAAACCAAATGAAAACACTTCTCCCTCTCTCGGGTTCTGAGTTTTATAAGGGAAAGATTTATTTCTGTACCCCCAAAGTTATACTAATGAAGCACGCTACATGGCCTAATTTGAACCTGATTTTGTGTTTCATGCTTTCAGTTGCAGTACCTACCTCAGTTAACTAGCAGCAGCATCCTCCCGGCTTTGGACAATAAGAAGTACCACTGTAATACCAAGAAATTTAACTACCATTTTCCAAATATTTAAGCAGCTAGCAGAGTGAAGAAGTGATCAATAATTTGAAGGAGAAAAAAGTACATATTTGATTCCTGTATTGACTACACATCAGGAGAAAACACAGACAGGAAGCTGGAGGTCACCTGGCAAGATATGAAGAGAAATTCCAGAGCCAGACTTCCATGCTTGGTGGAGATGTCCAGAGAAGAAAGCAAAAGCTGGCAGTTTCACTGTGTTTGTACATCTAAGCAGCGGAGCTTAAAGACAGACTAGAAACTGTATCTACTTAATACAGTATATATTATGTATATACTGTATGTATATTACAGTATAATATACAGTTAAATACTGTATATTGCCCTTAAAGACAATATAAGCCGTATCTGCTGCCTGTAGCTGCAACAGTAGATCATGCCAGAAGGACTTCAGCTTGCTTTCTGGCACATGTGAAAAGTGGGTTATAAAATATCCATATGTATTTCTTTAGATATGTGTTTCCTTGAATCCTAGCTCTAATGTTCTTTTCAAAACATATTTAAGTATGATTTTGGTCCCTGAAATCAAAATGTATGTGATTCCATTTCCTGTATGCTCATTCCTGATTTTTGTGTTTTAAGACATGTTTTAGAATATCTAAGTTGATCAAAATATCTAATGTCTTAAAACTTTGTAGTTTTTGCACGTATATAACCATGAGATACTTAGACATCTCTTACATATACTTTTATCTTTACCCTAAGAAAGGATGCATCCGAAAGGGATAGAACAAGACCTACAGGCCTCACAGAATGAGCCTGTCAGCCTGAAAATAATCATCACTTCATTCTTCAGCCCACCTCATACCTGAAGACTGTTCTATAAGCAAAACTAATATAATAATCTGAATTTAGACACAATTGTTTGTGAACTCTAATTTGAATCAGGAAACATGTAGGTTGTTAATTGAAATTCTCTCCTTGAAGAATCTCTTATTATATACACCATGTATATGTACATGCCTGTAAACACACATTCATACAATTGTACACATATCTATGTGCACATACCATGCTAATGAATACAGTACAACAAATAAGGAAGTAGTCAACAGTGAGACTTAAAATTACCTTCAATCTGGTTTATTATTCCTAATAGCAAATCTTTTCCTTCCTGCCCCTGGACATGGGCAATGTAAGTCCCATTATCAGCGTCTCACTATCATTTCCGGTTCATGTGCTGCTAGTTCACAGTTCTCAGACACGGGCTTAAAGCTCTACTCTACTGCATCCCCAGAACATCTTCTGCGCTCTCATGACACCACTCAGCCTGTCACTGATCACCATGCAGTTCACTAAATTCCGTCATCTGCTCAGTAATCTTGGCCACACCAAGGCAAAGTACGGCTTCCTAAATATATATAGCTCCTTCCACAGACCTGACAGGGGCTGAGTGACAGCTCCACTAGTATTCAGTTCCTCTTAAATAGCCATGATTTAAACGACAAGGAAGGATACCAACTTCTATGAGTAGTTCACATTGCCTTTTTCCCGCTTAAATCAATAAAAATGTATTTGAAGAAGCAAATGACTGTAACTGCATGGTTTATTCAGTAGTTTTACAGAAAACTGCAGACTAGCAAAGTCTCTCCACACAGTACTGACACCAACCTGCGATGAAAGGGTTTGACTGTCTTCAGTGTAATCTGTTACATTTATGTTTATGCTCAATGGAGTGATTTCTGCAAACCTCATCTTCCACATGGAATCACCACATACCACATGAGCCCATTCTACATGTGTTCTACCTTGTCTTTGTTTCTATTTACTATTTTCTGACTTGTAAATGACAGGGAGATATGCCATTTGCATTTTCCCACAAATGAGGGTGTTTTTCTATAAGCATAGTTCTAAAAACAGCTAAAGCTCCCCTTTCTGCCTGAAGTCTGTACTGCAGGTCATTCCTAGTCAGATTTATATTCAGCAACCTGATAACTAACCACACATACAGAAACCTGCACATGAAACCGCATGTAACTATGACGATGGAAATATAGCTATTTCAAGTGAAACATTAAAGACTATTTTTAATCCCCTTATGACATTCTTTATTATTCATTTTCAAATTTTATTTTTTTTATGTTCCTTGAGTTCATTGGAAGCAACATTCAAAATATTTGAGGGATAGCAAAACTTAGCTTTAAATCAACACACTAACATTTTGCTTGATGCAGAAGGGCAGCAGGGATTATTTTTATTTATTTATTTATTTTGGCTCTTGTTTTGTTTTACCAGCAAAACTAGTTGGGGTACAGACAAGAACCTGTGTTAAGTTTTAACCAGCACTGGCCCAAGCTTCAAAGTAGGACGAATTAACCAGCGTGTTCATTCTGACAAAGGGTATTTTAAAAGGTGTGCACCTGTTTAAAAGCACATGCAATGCAGGAACTTGAGCAGTGCATGCGAACCCTAGGAAGCAACCCGCTGTGCCGCTGCCAGCGCCACCGACAGCTGTGCACGACTGAGTCCATCACTGCAGCTGGAACTGAGCTTTCGGGTGTTCAGAACCAGGCATTTACAGCAGCGCGCTTCAGCGCCTTTAAAGACGTTAAGTGTTATAATATAAAAAAGAATAATTGCATTGTATCTTAAAGAACTCTATGTCAGGATCCATACCAAGCAATATTCTACAGTATATATGCCAATGAGGAGTACATTAGAATTAAAATGTTACATTGTATTTTTTTTTTTTTTTGAGACAGGATTTCTCTGTAGCTTTGGAGCCTGCCCTAGAACTAGTTCTTGTAGACCAGGCTGGCCTTGAACTCACAGAGATCCACCAGCCTCTGCCTCTCGAGTACTGGGATTAAAGGTGTGCGCCATCACCACCCTGTTACGTTGTAATTTTTAAGTGATCCAATGTACATAATTTCTCACTTCCAACTAAGTAATTTTAGCGAGTCACTTTTACACATTACTTTCTAGCTAATGTCCAGTCCGCACTCCCACATGGTCTCTCAGTCCTGCTGGTGACTAGGCAGTGTCTGCTGAGCATCAGCACTTTCAAATGGCGCTTTAAACTGAGAGCACAGACTTATTTTACTTCAGGTTTAATTTCAGCTCTAGAGAAGGCAGTGCTGTCTTGAAGACTTGGGCGAGATTGTCTTTATCTTTCACTCCAGGAAGATCACTTAAGAACAAAGACCTGAGGTTCCTGCAAACAGCAGAAAACAAAAGTCACTGCAGTTTATGTCTGTAAAAATGAGCTCAGTTTAGAAAATAACACGTATCAGGTAATTACATCACCCCATACCTTCCAGACGGCTTCTAGAGTAACAGTCTTGGAAGGCTACTTTAAATGAAATTCGTGCAAGACTTAAATTATCATTTTTCCTTCTTTCACTGATATTTCTGAGTCTCTTTTATTTCTATAACATACGAAACCGATCTCCTTTGTTTATAAATTATCAATAATAACACAAACAAACAACCCCCCGGAAGTCCTTAAAGGTATTCAAGTTTCTCTAAGAGGAAGAAACTTTGAAGCCTCTGCTAGTGTTAAGAGATAAATAAATGGTCTAGTACTTTGACTGTAACATCTCAAACACCTCCAACTGCCTGTGATGCTGAGATTACTGCTACATACTCTCTTCATTCACCTTATCAAGTTTTTGTTTTGTTTTTGACCATTTACCTAAAATGTCGCAAAGCAATGATGCCGTTGTCTGTGACATTCCCACAGGAAATTATTTCCATTTCCAATAGGCTTTTTCGTAACTTTTCAAGTTGACTGAGCCTCTGCAAACAGGTATCTTCAATGTAATGACACTTGCACAGTGTTATTTTTTCAACATGCTCTAGGCCCTCTGCGGGGAGAATTCATAGTTTAAGAATCTGTTTTATTATTACCGTGACTACCAGTCCTTGGTTCACCTAGGGCAGGACTGTCCTGGCTTTGCCCGTTCCATGGAAACCGGAGTGGCTGCTCACCTAGTGACCACACATGACACACTCACTACACAGCTGGGGCTGGTGCAAGGGCCACTCTGAAGTCACATGCCCATGCACTGGAAGAAAGAAAATCCCACATGAGCAGAAGCTGTCTGGATATTAGTCTTATGTTCACAAAGACATCCATTTGCCAAAGTAGTCTGACAAAATCAAACAGGCTTTGAATTTTAAGTGAACAAAAGAACACAGAAAGAAGCTCAAAAGGGAGGAAGGAAGGAAGGTGTCTATCATATGATCTCTATTTACTTTGAAGATAAACATCTAACACAGGAATAAATAGCAATTTTACTGAAATGTACAAAAACAAACACACGACTATAACGGTGAGCAAACTGTAGCAAACAATCACTGTGGATCACCTGCATGCCCTATAACCAAGTGACAGGGACTCACCCATGTGCTCCAATCCAATGTCCATGATACAAGAGTCGGTGGCATCAATTGCTTGGATCTTGTATCTGCCCACAGAGCCTCCTGGGAGGTTGTTGTAGTCCTCCAGCCACTTCTGGTGGCCACAGTAGCGTACCTTGGCCCCACACCGAAGTAGCCACTCAGACGCTGCCCTGTCAGGGCCGACATCCCGGATGCGTTCATAATCTACTCTGTTGACAAGGAAACAGAAGCAGAATACTTCCACTGTCACTATTCCTCAGCTGTGTTCACTAATATAAATATGGGCCAGAAATACATCTTTATTTCAAAGGACTGAGGAGTAAATATATTAATGAGATCCATAAAAATAAAAACTGTGGCTCTCTTTAGCTCTTTCTCTTTTTCTTTCCCTCCTTTTCTTTCTTTTTTCTTTCTTTAGTTTTAATCTCTGACAAGAAATATTAATATGATTACTGACGTTTTGGAGGTACTGTCCCAGTCAGGCTAGCTTTGAACTCGTGATCTTTTTTTTTCCCTTTGCCTCCTCAGTGGTGAGATTACAGGTGTGTGCTCTCATACCTGGTATGGTGAGATTTTATTTTATTTATTGTTTTGGTTCTGGGGCTTAAACCCAGGTCATCCCTGTGTTAGGGAAGCATTCATATGTGTCATGGAGCTTGACAGACAGAGATCCCTATCACAATATAGTGACTATGTGGGAACCATTTTTCATTACTGAGAAAATATTAAAGGTATGGTGGCACACACTTTTAATTGCAGCACTCGGGAAGCAGAGGCAGTGGATTTCTATGAGCCTGAAGCTAGCCCTGTCTACATATCGAGTTCCAGGACAGCCAGAGCTACATAGAGAGACACTGTACAAATAAACAAATGGCTAAAAAGGGAAAAAATTTGAAGCCATTTTCAAATTAGTCTCTTAGTGCTATTTACTAATTTCTGCAAATGCCCTTTTTTTGCAGTCACAATGGTGATATTAGGCAGTAAGTTTGTTGTACCTGTCTCAGTACGGTACTTCCATGAGTATGCCATATACTAAGTTTTTTATTTATTTTATTTAAATTTTTCTCTATGTAGTCCTATTGTTCTGGAATTCACTAGATAGACCAGGCTGACCTTGAATTCACAGAAATTCTCCTGAAGGTCTCTCAAGTGCTGGGGACTAAAGGGTATGAGCCACCACCACCTGGCCACACTGAGTTTTTAAACACCAGAGTTCTCCTAGCAGGACTCGACAGGCTATTAACATTCCTCAAAAAGCTAGAGAATGAGGATTTCAAAGTTACACATGTTGTTGAGTATAAAAAGAACAAAAATTCATGTTTTAGATAGCTTGAAGGATATCAATACACAAGTAAGAAAAAATCTACTTTGGGGCTGGAGATGGCTTGCTGGGTAAAAACATGTATTGCTATTGTAGAGGACCTGGGTTCAGTTCCCAATACCTACATGGTGGCTCACAATATCTATAGCTTCAGTTCCAGGTGATGATGCCTTCTACCCTCTGTGGGCACCAGGTACACACATGGTTCACACCCATATATCCGTGCAACACATAAAGTAAAAATGAAAAAACATCTTTTTTTAAATTTTTTTATGATTTATTTTTCTTTTATTTTATGTGCATTGGTGTGAAAGTGTCAGATCCCCTGGAACTGGATTTTCAGACAGTTGTGAGCTGCCATATGGGTGCTGGGAATTGAACCCGGGTCCTCTGGAAGAGCAGTCAGTGTTCTTAACCACTGAGCCATTTCTCCAGCCCCGAAAAAACATCTTAAAAAAGAAAAAAACACTAATATTCTGTAACTCAGACAAGCAACTCAATATTTTGTAAGCTATTTTTCTGTTTAAGTATGTTTTATTGTTTGTAAATATATTAGCATCTTACTGTGCATACTGTTCAAAAGAAAAATAATTTGAAACACAAGAAATAAGCCACTAGCCAAAGAGTGATCTGGAGCCTGTCCAGTTATAAAAATTCCCACGTTTCTTCACTTAATTAGAGTCACTTACTTATTAAACACTGTATTCAACCATTCCCAGAAGTATCTGGAGTCACATGACCGTGGGATTTTCTTTAAGCTGCAGAGCTGCCTCGAAATTTTTCCAAGCACCATCATTTGATCTAGACACACAAAACAGTGCTCTCAGGAACTCATCGGCCAGCGCCACACCTCTGCTGACTCCACACTCCAGCGTTGAGTCTTGTGCCAACAGCTGATGTTACTGACCAGACACTTCTGTCTCCAATTCTTGGGTTTTGTTTGTTTCTTATTTGCTCACAAGGAAAGGCTGGGACTAGGTGATGTCTAAGGTTCTTTCTAGCTTAAATTTCATTGTTTGAACCTTATTTGTCTGCAGTGCTGCCCCTTAATGACCTTAATGCTTACTTTCTGTAATAACTATAGATGTGTTCAAACCAGTTCTATTTTCAATGCATATATATTTTGAAAACAAAATGACAAACTATGGTCCCATAGGGAACATTGTGACAGGGTTACAGTATTCCCATCCAGGCAGAGCAAGGAAAATAAAAGCAGATCTATTTGGGACAAAGATGGGTCATCAGAGCACAAACAAATCTCCTGCTACGCAGGAGAGGGGCCTGGGCAAGCAATTTCACTTCTCAGACCCTGGATTTTTTCATTTGTGAAAAGAGATGATTTGTTCAGATGGCTTCCAGCCACAAGCTGAGAAAATAATTTCTGATTAAGTCTCAATAGATTTATCTCAATTCAAGTTCTCCAGCGGTGGGTCAGGTGTGAGGGTTAGGGGCTGCAAGAAAAGTAAAATGTGGTCTCTATCTTTGAGGAAATTACAAGTCAATCCAGGATGGAGTGGCCCATGCCACCAAGTAGTTAAAATAGATGACAAGACTTGATATAAGCCTTGAAGGAGCTAAAACAAGGACAGAGATGATTCACTGACAAAAAAGCCAGGCAAAGCTATGAGAGTTTGGTGTGAACATGGAGGTCAGGAAAAGACGTCAGACACGCAAAACTCTTGCAGCCAGGGTGTCTGGACTATATTCTGAAGACAGTGGAGTCACAGAGATATAAGACCAGAGCACTGGCATTGCTGAAGTGCTCCTGGGAATTTACTCAGACAGCAGTAGCAAACCAAACATCAAGTCAGACATAATCCTATAATCCTAGCTACTTGAGAGGTTGAGGCAGGAGGATCACTTGAGCACAAGAATTTGAGGCTAGCCTGAGCAATATAACTACAATCTGTTTCAAAATAAGTAAGTAAATACAGAATGGTACAGCAATAGCTAACAAGGACTCCAAAGGAAAGCACTTAGTCACAGAAGGATACAAGGACATTAGAGTTAAGATTCCATATGGTTCAGTCAGGGACATATAGAGACAAGAGCTAGAGACTTGAAGATGGCACCCGGATCACTGACAGGACAGTGATGTCCTTATCAGATGCCAATATCAAGGATGGTTTGATGAGTAAAGTGCTTGCCCACAAACATGAGGGCCTGAGTTTGGATCCCCAGCGTTTATATAAAAAGCCTATTTGGTAACACGCACCTATAATCCCAGTGGTAGGGAAGTAGAGACAGAAAGATGCCCTGCTGGCCAGCCTGTCTAGCCTAATTGACAAGCCTCCAGGATCAGTGTGGGGACCTCTAAGAAATAAGGTGGAAATGTAACAGGACCTCAGAACTTAGCACAACTGATTCCATGAAGGAAATACCACCCAAGCCATAAAACTTAGCATGTAGACAGCATCACTGGTCAAAATGAAAACAAAGACCTAATCCATCAAAGCTCATAGTTACGGGGACGTCTCTAAATATACCAACCTTGCATTTTGGCTTCTGTTGTTCCACTTCTGGCTGACTATTCTTTTTAACTGAAGTATGTCAATATAGAACATGGCTTTTGTGCTTAAAAGCTCACCCTGAGTAAGGCTTGGGGCTATACTGGGATCCCAAATGCCCAGTGTAGTCACCAGTCAGCTAATAAAGACTTTCTATGGGCTTAAACCCATGTCTTTGGTGGATATCCCACAACAGAAAGTGAGGAGGACACACAATGTTGACCACATGCAAACACACAGATGTGAGCACAAAAGGACATACATGAACACATACATACCAAGGTAAGTAAGTAAACAGGGTACAGGGTTGTAGGTTCAGGTTTTTTTCTCTTAGATTTTCATATTCTAAATATGAAGTGTTGACAAGACTCCTAAGGAAAGATGACCAACAAAATCACTGGAATTAGAGTCACAAGGTGTTAGAGCTGGAAGAAACTTAGGCCAGCCACATGAAACCTCTCATTTAGAGATGAGGAAACTGAAGCCTTGATATTAAGTAACATGCTGACACTTTAAATCCTTTCTGGAACAAGGTGGGGCATTAATAAATGCATGTGTCTAAAGGAACTTGCTCAATGTTTCATAGAGAATCTGTGTCAGTATCGTATTTGAACCCAGTGCTCTTCCCTACCATGAGGACTCTGGATGATTCTAGAACTCAGGAGAGGAGAGAGAAGAAGACTTAAAAGATGCCTGAGTGGGAGGCATTTTGAAGCTGAGGAAAGGGTGTGATGCTGAGGCAGTGAGTGTGAAGCTTGGTGACGGAATCTGGGGAACACCCACGGCACTCACGCCTCTCCCCTCTTCTCTGCTCTCTCCCCAACCCTTCCCCCTCTTTGGCAGTGCTGGGAACTGACCACTGGGCTCAGTGCCTGCTAGGCAAGTACTCTACCCTTCAACAGATGGTCCTCTCAGCCTCCATCTTTGTCTTCATCACCACCAGACCTCTGCCTCTGCTACATCCCACAGTCTCGGCCTTGCTAGACAGTTGTTCAGCTCTGCCCACCTATGCCCACCCTAGTGAGTCCTTTGTTGCCAATTTCATTTACAAATCTGGGCTTTCTCATCCTCTACTTGCGCTATTCCTTCATTAATTTCACCTCCAACTTCATCTGTGAAAATATTACACAAGTTCTCATTTCAATGCCAAACCCACCTATTCACTCACTCACTCATTCATTCATTCATTCATAAATGCTCACTGGATGTTGGCTACTCTTAGTACAAACCAATGGTGAGACAAGAGATGTAAGCAACAAGAGAAGTAAGAAGAAAGATCCCGTCCTGTCCTCATAGAACCCATGGTCTAACGGAGAAGACAGACGGCATGGAAACACAAATACTATCCATAAGGTACTTGGAGGCATGGACTGTGTGTGAAAACCTAAAAACGGGCTGAAGGGAAGGATTCATACTAGAGGTGGTTTTTGTTTTTTTGAGATGGGTCTCAAACAATGATTAAGAGTTTTCAAGCAGGATGTGATGATGCACTCCTTTAGTCCCAGCACTTGCTAGGTAGAGGCAGGAGATCTCTGTGAGTTCAAGGCCAGCCTGGTCAACAGAGTTCCAGACTACCCAGGACTAGTGAGACCCTGTCTCACAAACTAAAAGAAAGTTTTCAGTGAGGAAGATTAAGCGGAGAGAGGAGCAGGCAGAGGAAAAAGAAGAACAAGAACCACTTATATTCATTCTCTTAACATAATGCAGAAGTTTACAAGTGTCTGTTGATGGGTCGTCTCCAGTGGCCAGCTATCCATGTGCAAAAGTCAAGCCGGACTTGTTACTCAGCAAGGAAAATAGCAGAGTCCCTGAGATCTGAATACTTTTGCTGGAGTCAATGTGGTTCACTTTTTAATCCAGCTTAAATAAAGGTAAGGCCAGCTTTATTTCAGTTATGATTTCTGAAAACATTATATGTTATCTTTAAACCAAGTTGCAGTAAAAATTAAGTTTATATATGGAAATAAAGGCTTAAAAATCATTTTAATTAATCATTTAATTAATCATTTTACATTTTCAACTTCAACTTTGTGGACTGACATCTGAGAAGCACTTCCTGCTGGAAAGCAAGCAGTTAGCAGGAAGAATCCTTTCTACATGGAAAGAGGAGACCTCTAGTGGTAAGTTAGTAAATGGAATGCTAGTGAGTTAAACCAGTTAAAAGCAGATTAGAAAATCCTTGCTATATGACTGGTGCCATAAGTAACCTAGAAATTTAAATTATAAGAAAGAAAACACACCTTACTATGCTTACTATCATGAGCGGCACTAAGTTTATAACAGTGATTCTAAAATTTGCAATTATATCTGTGAATTAATAAAGGCCAGGTCGCGAATGTTTTCACACACACACACACACACACACACACACACACACACACACACACACACAGGTTTATTCATTTAATAAATGAATATTAAGTTCTGTTCTTCTAAAGAACCCTGACTAATACAAGCAGTAAGTGCCTTCTTTTTTCTTTGCAGTCTTGACTACTAAGCCATCTCTCCAGTCCCTGTACAGCCCCTGAAGATGACAAAATTATGGAAAGAAGAACCGCAGGAGGGTTGTGCATCACAAGCATCTCTCCAGGGTGAGTTGTGATTATAAAGGACATCTGGAGAAATCCTTGTGATGCAACTGTTATCTTGATTACGGCGGTGGGCACAACCCTCTACATACAGAAAGGAAACACTGGGACATCTCTGAGGGAATCCATCGACCTGCACTACGGTTTACAAGATTTTATCACAGGGCAGATGGTGTGATAGCTAAGCCGGTGGTCAGCCTGACTGCAGCCGACCCTAACGCCCTAAGGGCACTTCAGGAAGGGATTTCCTTCAGATTGTTTGAAGCAGGAAGACCCACCCTAAATCTGGGCCATATCTTTTTGTTTCCACCCAGATAAAAGGATACAGAAGGACACTTTGTTTTTCCGCTCTCTTACCCTCCCTCCTGATTGCAAGTTCATCTATCTTATATGGGGACATTCACACACACAATCTTTTTGTCCTGTTTCTTTAGAGAACACCGACTAATACAGATTGTGGCACCATGAGTGGGTTCTAGAGAAATGGAATCATAAACACGAACTTTTCTAATAAGCTTGGTGGTTTCTGGACCTGGCTTCCCAACTTGCCAAAACCTACACAAACTGAATGTTCGCAGAATGCTACAAGTCCGTGGTGTGGGCTATTTAAAGAACTTATCGGGGTAAATGCATTTGATCATTCTGAGTCTCCTCTTGTGAGAAGCAAGGAATTTAGTGTCTCTATACATAAATAAAAAAAGACAAT